AGAATATAGGAGGAGAAAAGAGAAGGAAGAAGAAGTTGCCCTGGCCAGATCATATATTTTAACAATTAAAATGATGTTTAAATAAAAAGGTCTTTACCTGGTGCCGAAAAACCAGTAACGACGGTGCCAGGCGGACCTCTTTGGGGAGTGAATTCCATAGGTTGGGCGCCACCGCAGAGAAAGCCTTCCTCCGAGTACTTACTCTCCTAAATTACTCTAAATTACTCTAAAAGCCTTAATTGTTAAAATGATGGTTAAAATAAAAAGGTCTTTACCTGGCGGTGGAAGGAGTATAACATTGGCACCAGGTGGACCTCTTTGGGGAGCGCATTCCATAGTCTGGTCGCCACTGTGGAGAAGGCCCTCCTCCAGGTAGAGTTCCCAGAGCAAGGCCTCCCCCACCGATCTTAAAGGGCGTGAGGGCATATAGGGTAGGAGGCGATCCTTCAGGTATTGTGAACCTAAGCCAAGAATCCCTAAGAAGCTTTCAGGCACTCAGGGTTCTTTAGAAAGGCACTGCTTTTGACAGTAATTTTAAGAAAATATTTCTTACTTTGCTAAGGAGTCAATAGGAAAAAAAATACTTTTCTTACTAGAAATATGGCCTGTATAGGGGATTTTTAAATAAGACTGGACAGTTAGCTCAATAGCGTGAGGTAGAACCACAGTCTTATGAATGCATTGACAATTCAGAGTGAAGCTGCTCAGCCATTAATACAATTCTTGCTTCAGTTTTCAGCAGAATTGCCACACATCCAACATGCTGTGAGTAGGCCCCTGCCTAGATTCAGCTGCACCTTTCCTGTCCCCAACAGAGGGAAATCACCTTGGCGAAAGGAATAGCAGTCTTTACTGATGGGGATCATGGCTGTTGTAGAGTCCTGAAGGCATCTTCTGTCCTTGGGAGACAATAGGAGAAGCTAATGTTGCAGGGCAGTGTGTAATTACTTCTTCATGCCACAAGGATTTGTCCTGGGGGCTTCTAGGTTCCATCTTATCCCCCGAACTTTTTATTCATTTTGTTAAATCTCTGGGGGAAATCATTTGGAGGTCTGGGGGAAGCTTTCCTAAGTATGATGATCACTTCCAATTGAATTGTTCCTCTTCCTGCACTCCCGGTGAGGCAGTGAAGTCCCTGATTGGTTGTGGGATTGATCCAGGCACTGATCCAGGCAAGATTAGGAGAAGCTGCTGGTGCTGAAGGGTTAGGGTTGATCTAGATGTAGGTGTTTACCTACTAGATGTAGGTAAGGATTACACTAGCCTTGAAGAGAACAGGTGTGCAACTTTTTATTATTTATTTGGCTAGATGATGTTCTTTCTCCTGCAGCTGCTGCTTGATTCTCTGATTACAGCAGGAGTGAGAAATGTCTCTTTCCAGCTATGACTTCATAAATACTTTCCTGTTGTTAACGATATATCAAAGTGAGCAAGCCAAGACTGAACCACAGTTTCTGGTTTAGGAATCATTCCAAACATGTGGTTTAAACAAATTATGACAAAATTGCTAAAACTGGCACATGAGTATTGGACTTTGGGCATGGAACAGTTTTCTTAATAAACCATGTTTAAGAGGCCTGTATATTCTCCAGGTTGCTTTGAGGGTCTTGCGTTTGGCTGATCAAGTAGAATTTAAAAACTAAATACCTCTTCTCTGAGCCACTGGCAAATGTGTTAGCAACAACTCCAAAGTGTCAAGAGTTTGGAAACAGCCCAAGCACTTGGATTACTAGCTGTATTTGGAGCAGTGATGGCTTGCTGGGACCTCAGGCGTGCTATGTTACTCTTTCTCCCTCATAAAAAATGGCTGCCCATCACTCCGAGGGCTGAAAAGCAAAGTAAAATGCTGCATGCGGGTGGGCAGAATTGTGGTTAGAGCTAAACCTAACCTGCCCTCTCTTGAATCTTGACATCGGCTGCCTTTTTTTACATCGACGAGTCTCTTGTAAAGGGTCCTTGCAGTATGCAGACCCTGACTTTCCTTATGCATCGAGAAGGATCTAGTTTTCGCAGTGAGGCTTCCTTAGTTTTTGACACGTGCCAACTTCAAGCTGTGGCTAAAATTAAGCAGGAGTAAAAGTTCAGATTTTGTGAGGATGCTAGAGCTTGATATGAAGGAAGCTGCCTTGCCATGTCTCTGGCACATGGGGAATACTGTGCAAGTTACAGCTTTCACCTCGGGCTTGTAGACGCTAAATTGGGAATGTTAAATCACTCCCAATTTAAACTTCTGCCATGGGAAGTAAGAGCTGAAACTGGCTGGCAGGCCATAGCCCTCCACTGCAAAAGGGAAACGAGCTCATGGTGGGCATTTTAAAGTCCCTTTGCCCGTCCTCTGTGACTTCCTGACAGGTTTTTTTTGTGGAAACGATTATTTCGAAAACAGGGTTGTGACTTCTAGTGTGTTAAAAGCAGCAGGGGCGCCAAAGCACTTAGGCACCCTGCTTCCATGCCACTATCCTAGGTAATAAAGAATGACAGGAGAGAAGCACAGAAATGCAAGCAGAGCTGTTGCCAAAAATAAGCTTTGTCTCTTTCTCCCTCCCCCAACCCCTGCCATCTTTTGTGGAGGTATGAACGGTCTTTTTCTTTTTGGAGGGAGTTTGACCTAAATCCTTCAGTTATGATGAGAAGTATAATGTCTGTCGGTTTAATTCACTACTGACACTTTTTTCCCTTAAAAATATATGCTGGCCAAGGAAAAACAGAGCTTTAAATGTTAAGAAGCAGCAGACTAAAGCTGCTAAAAGGAGCAGTGTTTGGAAGATGCTGATCTTGGGGCTGTATCATTGAGGTGAGAACCTCAGGATTTTTTAAAATGGTTGTATCTTATGTGAATGAATCGTTTTATAGAACTGCACTGCTGCAGTTCAGTGTTGGTTTGAGAAGAGCCCCAAAGTATTTTAGAAATAAAGCAGATCCAACTTTTCTCAGAAAATATCCTGGAAATGTTCTTTTTCAAACTGTCGGAGAATTTATCAGCCTGCTCCAGGAAGATTGGGCAAAATGCTTCCTCCCCATTTGCCACATCAAGATAGGGCAGGGAATTTCAGGACACTGTTTTCGCTTACTTCTAGTGTGCTATTTCACGTACAAGGTTCTGGCATATACACTGCAATTGTACACATCCTGGTTCTTGCAAACCAGATTGCTTCTTTAAAAATTCAGCCATCAGGTCTGTAAATTGCAGCCTCCAGTTAATACTGCATCCAGTCAAGCAACTGATTCAAGTTTAGCTGATCAGTGTACTGATCAAAAATTATGTTTGTGATTCTAAATAGCTCTATAGTGGTTCCTTACAAATAAAATTATTTGAAAGATCTGATCAGTTCACTCTGCAGTATTAGAAGATCTGTGATAAGTTCATTTTGAGAGGGAATCTGGAATTGAGAAATGTACTTCACCTTTTCTTTTCTCTGTGCTTTTTTCTCCCCTCAGTCCTGTGAAAGTAAGCTTGATAGGGGCAGTACTCTTCACTATGCAGCACTGCACTTACCTTCCAATGACAAAACAGCAGCTTATGTTCTTTTACACTGTCTTCCTGGTGGTCACAAAGGTAAGAATGTTGGAGTTCTTGATGCTTGAGAGATCACATTGGTAGAATTACTCATAGGTACTGTGTATAACTTAGATTTTCTTGTCTACATTTTAAAAAATCTTGTGTAGTTTTTATTTTATGGAAACTTCACTTATACATACTTGTATACCAGATACAATTGCTTAAAAACTGCTAAGATGACCTTGATCCTAAGTAAACTTTTCTTCCTCAGGTCACTAGCAATTTGAAATAAAACAGTGTGCTTATATTTTGAAAGCATGCTGAAACTGGCAATTTGGAATTTTGTACTTTTTATATATAATTGTTCTATGCTTATTCACATGAGGTTGAAAGAATGGAAAGGAGCTCTCCAGGAATGTGGAGAAAATCTTTGCATTAATAAATTGACTCGTTAGGTCTTCTAAGGGCCAGTTCTCATGTATGACTAGTCACCATATTCCCACCCAATGCCTGCCCTCTTTGTGGGGTTTTATTTTTTTCATGGCTAGATTTGGTACTGATCAGTTTCCCTAGGATTCCAATGGAAATGCTAATTGAGGAATTGGTTAGTTTTACAGCATTTAAGTATATACTACCGTTAACTCTGTGGATGTTAGATTTCAATTATGGTATCTTCATTTTGGAAAATGGCAAAAAGCAAACTATGCTATAACAATAAATTGCCCATGTTATCACCTGCCAAACTTAACATGGATCCATTCACCCTTTTGGATGAATTGGCATTTTGAGGGGGAGGGGCCAGTTGAAGGGGACTGGTATTTTTTTAGACTAGCTGTATTGCTGATTATATTATCATTGGGGGTTTTTTTTAAACTGCTGCAAAAAACTCTGCCAGAAAAGAACAATATGAGAATATTGCTGAGTTTTAAACATGCTGGTCAGATTAACTGGCCAACAATTCTGCAGAGAAGCACTTTTGTCAGGAGGATATCACCTAGGTTGGTTCAAGTTGCAAAGTTGATGTCTTTGCTGTGTTTCGTTTCAGGCAGCCATGATGCTGATGCAATGCAAAACTTCTCCATTTGCACCCCTTGAGAAAGCACTGGCCTGCTTATTTTTTGGTCAGCAGCCAACTAGTTCAAAGGCCAATGCACCTTATAATGGCATCTCCTCAACCTGTGACCCTACTACTAGTGGAGAGACTGGTGATGCTGTTAAGAAAAGACTGGCAAAGAAAACTGATTGAGAGCATTGACAGTGCCGTAGGTGGCTAAAAATGGCTTGTTTGTATGTGCCTATAAATATTTAATGTTTCTGTTTCCTAATGATGTGAAATGACAATTGTGTAGAAGGAAATTCTTACTGCAAGAAGCTAGCTACAAGAGCCTCTGAGCAGTCAGTGGCAAAAGTTTTCCTGTGCAAACCTCAGTCCGGTGAAGCTCTTGCAGGCTATGTTGCCCATGAACTCTTTGTACTGCCAACTACTGCCCAGTGGCGCTGCATAGCCTCTGAGGGTGTGTGTGTGTGTGTGTGTGTGTGTGTGTGTGTGTGTGTTTGGTAAATTAGAATTCATATTTGGATAAGATGCATCATGTTAGATTTTTTCCTAATGTAAATGATAAAATAAGAGATAATATTGTGATTTTGTTTGTATGAGACATTTTATGGTGGTGGAATCAGTTTTCTAGTTAAGAAAACAAAACCCCTTACTTTTAAAAAGCCTGATTGAAATATTTGCTGGCAGCAGCAGAATGCAACAGCCTGACGTGATGATTTTTGTTGATTATATTGTATTTGGGACATGATCCAGCCAGAGTTGGGTGCTTTTAAATAAGTGGGAGAGATTTAACTATATGTGTTATAGGAATTCATTGTGCTTAATTCTGGCTGAATTGTACCCTGATATTCATTCTTTAATACCAGAGGGTTGCTCTCCCAATATTTTAATACACAAAGTTTTTAAATCTATTTGAGCAATGTGAACATTTTTTGTGAAAATGTAATGTATTCAGTGACTGAAAGGAACAATAATTAAACTGTGCTGTTGAACATAACAAGCCAGCTTAATCTTCCAACAAATCTTCTTAATTCTTAATATACTGCTACTGAATTGTCTTCAAGGCAAACATTTGTACTGTTTTTCACACTCTGCTTGAGTCACAATCTATCTTGTTCAGTTTTTTCACAAAAATACTAGTTTTTTCCAATTTTTCTACATGTACTCACCTGTATCTTGAAATATTAATGTTTTGTAAACATGAACTTCAGTTTTTCTTTACTGTGTTTTTTAAAACAGGACAGTGAAACCTGTTAAAAAGTGAATTCTTATGGCCTGTGTTTGTGAATAGGTATTCCTCAAACAGTCCCACTTTTAAGCAAGGAGGGATGTATTGTAGAAAGGACTAAGACCTCCTTCTAGAATATATTACTTTGGGTAGTATCCAGTGGTGTCCCATTACTGTCACTAATGACATTATAGCTATAATGGTGTGCATAACCACTGCATAACTGTTGCACTAGTTGCCTTGCATAGAAGTGGTGCACTGTGGCACAGTAGTGTTAGCAAGAGAGTATTGCTGGATGTTTATATAAAATGTATTTTATTTAATAAAAATGCATTCTAGACATGCCCCCTCCCTTTTTATTTTTTCTGAAATAATTTGGTGTCTGGCTAGCTCTTGTAAAACTTGTACCAGCCTCTGAGCTAAACAGCCATGTATAATTGCATAAACTAGCCGTTTTTGCTGCCTCCCTAAGACTGCAGAAACAATGTAGTGCAGGAGGAACAAACTTGTGGGCCTTAAGATGTTATGCCCTACATCCCCCATTATTCCTAAGCTGTATAGCCAATGCTACCAGTTGATCAGAGTGTTAGCCCAACCATCTGGAAAGCAACCCATTGCTTACCCCTAGTGTTGGAGTTGTTAGTTGGTTGAACAGAAAAGCAAAGCGGGAAGACACCAATTGAAGAGTGTTCTCTTTCCTTCATTTTTCAATCACCTGGTTGCTAATTTGTGCTTGGTTTTGTGGATCAGAAGTAGTGTGGGCCTACTCTAAGATGTCTAGCTAAGCATTTTAAGGCTTAAATTATTATTTTTAGCGTTTTTTTACATCCAGGTCATAAATTGATGAAGAGAGAGGAATTTAATTGGCAAGTTTCAATTTTCGGACTTATAACTTAAGTTTCCTTTTTGGTCAAAGGCCTGTTTTGGGAGCATTTAATTAAAGTATCCAGAAAATGGTATCAGAAGCATCCACATAGCATTACACTGATCTTGATTATCACGCAACTGAAAAATGCTTACAGCAAGCACCAGCTAACAGTGTGCTTCTGATGGTGATGACTTCTATGTGTATGTGCTTCTAAAGTCATTGACATCTTTCTATGAATTTTTGGAACTAGATTTTTGTACTGCATTTGGTGCTTTTACCAACAATCTCACAGTAATTGCACTGTAGTCCTTGTAGCACAAATTGATGTGAAAGAGTATTTAAAATTGCTGTTAATATATTTATAGTTCTTAGGCAGAAAATGGCCTGCTTTGTATTTGGATTCACTGTGCATTTTAAAATTCTACTATTAAAATAAACAAGGAAACTGTTTGTGTCTCAGTGCTGTCAGCTGTATGTTGGTCAAATAGATGGACATGGAAGTTGTGTGGCTAACACCTTCTGCAAGACAGTCAGCAAAGCCAGTAATGTGTTCTTGTTCCCTAGGGACTTTGGCACATTTCACTGTAGTGTGATTCTGCTAGATTAGAGCATGAGATTTGGGGTATGTGGCTGGATTCTTTTTCATGCTCTTTCATGCCTCATCTCTGAAATTTTATTTAACATTTGAGTGTCCTACTGGAGAAATACCACAATCTAACTCTGGAGCTAAGCTTGTTTAAACTCATTCACTGTAGACCTGGCATTTATTTGAATGAAATTCTAAATGTGGGTGTTCTGTGCTTTGAATGTAACCCTCCCACACCAGTCAAAAGCATTTTAACAACCTGATACCAAGGTCAAATGGACTCTAGTTAGGTTCCTATTCCTTGTACCAACCTTCCTCATCATTGTGCCTTCTAGATTTTGGAATTCAACTCTCATCAGCCAGCATAGCCAATGATCAACAATATTAGGAGCTGTAATCCCAAATATCTAGCAGGCACTTGTAATGATTTAAAGTGTTATGAGTGTGAGCCTTTAAATATCGGTAAGTTTCAGAAGAGCAAGGGGGCTAAAATTGGGGATGAGTGAGTGGTGTGATTGGTTGGTGACTGCGTGTGTGGGCGGAGCTTGGAAGTGTGTGAGGCAGAGGAAGAGATACTTTGAGTCAGTCCTGGTCTACCAGCTATTATAGTCCTGTTGTGGTCAGACAGCAAATCTGTGAGTCTGAAGAGGCGGCCTTCTCATTGGAATCCCACATAGTGCTGTGGAAGGTGGGATTTATCAGGACAAAGGAAAGGAAATGGAATACTTGGAGGGTGTATTAGTGACTAGGGAGAGTCAAAACCTAATATTGTCAAGTATGAGGGTATGTGAGAGAGAAGCTGACAGGTTTCTGGGGTGCAGAAGGGAAAGACTGAACTGACATAAATAAGAATTGAACAAATACAATCAGGAGAAAAAGGATTTGTGAGTGAGGAGCATTTGTGAAGAGAAAGTGAGATACATCAGTCAGAAGTGGTATTATGCATTGTTTCATTCATTGAGGAAATAAGTTTCTGAACATCATGAAACCAATATGCTTACTGCACAAATAAAGTTTTATTTTGTTTATTGTTAACTCAGAGTGATAGGCTGTTTGATTATCAGTGTCGCATCCTCAGGACCACATAGTTGAACAAAGCAGCCTTAAAGTTTGGACACAGCACTGTGAGAGAAGTTAATAAGATTGGAATTGAATTCCTGGTGGCAACATTACATACCAGAGAAAGAGGGAAATATCAAGAGGGTTAAAGACACACCATATCCACACAATTAATGGGGGAGTACTTATAATAGCAGTGCTTGTTTTAAACCAGTGGTAGGTAGCACTGCTGAATTTCCCTCTGAAATTTGCTAGTGCATTAAAAGCAACCCATCTCAAGATTTTGCTGTAGAACAGGGCACATTGGATTGAATGCTGGTGTTTTATACCAAGCTGCTTCATATTTTAAAATCTGTTTATATATGCTTAGAATAAGTATTTAAATAATTTTAATAGTTAAAATGCTTAAATTTATGAAATCCTTTTTAATTTTTGAAATGTTAAGTCTTTAGAATTCATAAATGCGTGTGCTATTGGTGGTCATTTTACTTGCCTGTTTTGGAGTACTGTATTATGCATGTCACATTGCCTGCATATCAGTTAAAGCAAAATCTTCAAGTTCTGGGCATAAGTGTGGTAAATTTGGTAGAGCTACAAAAATGCTGGGAAGAAGCACATGTTGTCTATCTCTGTTTCAAACTATGAATGCAGGACTCCAATTTTATATAAAAAATCTAAACTAGTTTAACTTACAGTATAAAAAGAACATGAAGGGATAGCAGGGTCTGTAATGACTCCAGTAATTCCTATGGATCTCACAGGTATGATGCCTTTCTCACATTTCCCTTCAACACACAATGATTTGGGGTTATAAATAAAACAATTCTGAATTATGAGCACTGTTACATCAACCTAAATGTAGCTTGAATATGTACCGTTTCAGTTCTTCCATTAATTATAACTTGTGCATAATATATTCCAGTTCCATTTTAGCAAAACCCTCAAATGAAGAAAACACACACTCTGGGAGGAATGGAGGATTGAAACAGCAGAGAACAATTTACCCTTTCCTTGTATGAGAACACATGGGGGGGCTTAAGCAAATCTGCTTTCTGATCCACTCCTTATGGACTTCCTAAGTATTTGTGTATGCAAACTACATAGAAAACACTGAGAGCCAGACTGTAGAAGGCAATTCTCCTTTGAAGCAGTTCTGACCATCGACTGCTTGTTGGAAGAGTTGCACAGACTTAAGTCTGGCTGTTTCAACCGTTTTGCACCTTGCCCTTCCAATGCTTTCCTGTCTGGAGGCAATTGCATATTTTTTTCCTCCAGTGAATCACAGTTGGTATGAGATCATGTTCTTGGGAACTGGAAGTGGTCGCTTTGATTGGTAGAGCCAGTCTCATGGAGAGCTTTGAACATCAGGGCAGAACCTTTGAGCCAAGCTCTGTGTTCTGAGGTGAGCAAAGAAGAGAAGAATTCTGCGGGGTTATGTTCGTGGCAGCCTGTCGTACTGAGCAGCTGGGTTGCTGTGTTTTGTATTTGAGCTGTTTCAGGCTGTGTAGCTTCATTCTGAGCAGTCTGGTATTTAAAGTGCTCTTTTTCTCTTCAGTTCCGATGTAGCAGCTTGGGAACTGAAGCTAGTGTGGCCTGTCCTACTAATGTTCACCTGCTCTCTTTGGACCACCTGCAAGCATTCTATCAATCTGAAAGTGTTTTCCCAAGTGATGCTAAGAATACTTTTTAGTTTTTTCAGCACCACACTCTCAAAAGGTTTAACAGGCTGGAGAAAGCAGAAGAAAGCAGTTTTAAAACAGTGTACATTCTGATCATGGGAATGTAGGAAGATACCTTCTACCTAGTCAGTCCCTTGTTGACAAGAATGCTAGTGGCACTCTAAGGGCTTCCAGCAGGGATTTTTTTCAGCCTTAACTGGAGATGGAACCTGAGACTCTTCCCATGCAAAAGCTACATTACATGCCTGGCATGTAATTTACACACAGGGCTAGCCAAGCCACAGGGCAACCAAATTCAAGCAGCAGATGGGATGCTGTTTAAAAGCAGTAAACTTGTAAAATGTTTAAACAGAATTGAGTATCATGCTGGAGGTGACACTTGCAGCAACATTTCTCAGCCTTTATTTACAAAATAATGTTAAATGCCATACTTGGAAGTGTTCAAAACACTTCACAGGCATTGCTTCTGGCCTCTTAACAACAGCCCTATAGGTCAGGCCAATATCCCTGTCCTTATGCTGTGTGCAAATTGTGTGTGTGTGTTTCTGAAGTGGAATAACAGCCCAGTGGCACCCCATGGGCTGTACATGAGGGCCAAAAGACATTACTTTAAATGTGCCTTTTTTCATTTTTTACTCTGGAGTAGGTATGGGCCTTGATCTTGACTGGAATCCTAGTGTGAGGTTAGGATCGCTTTTTATGGCTTGTGCTTTGACATGTACCTCACCTTTCAGCAAAAGTGGCACTCAGGAAAGCTTACAGTCACCAGTTAAATACAAAATATATTACAAACAATTAAAAGCATAACTATAACAGATTAAAAACAGTCTTCAACCCAACAGACTGTCTTATACACCAAAGGCCAGCTGAATTCAGATTAGGGCCCCACCACCTACTGCAGAATAAAATGTTAACGCCGAAGTACCTGTTTAGGCCTATTTCTTCATTTCTAGGTCCCAAGACTTGGACTGGGGACTTCTGGGTCATGGTGTCTACCTCAGATAAGGCTCTTGATTTTTGTTCTTTGTGCCAGTTGTGAAGATGTTCATAATTAAGGGATAGCCAAATCTGACAGCTTGAAACTAAAAGTAGCAAAATAAATGTGCCAAGTATTGCAATCTTTTCAGTGACCTAAGAATTGTATCTGCCAAAGACACAAATCTCTTTGCTTATATGTACATGTACTGATCTGGTGCCTGTCCTGAAATAGACTTTTTGTTTCTTCTTTTGGGTTTTGTTTAAAGGAGAATATTGATTGTTATATTAAATAATACATATTGGTATAATACTTGATTGTCTCCCCTAAGATGATCAAAATGAGGCAGGGGAATCCAAGTTGGATGTGGCCTCCACACTTAAGATGTCCAGTGGTGGATCAACCCAACATCGGGAGTGTACTTTCCTAAGGCATACTTCCATTTATTTATTAATAGTTTTGTTTAAATCCTCCCCTCTCACAGAAGTCTCTATCCCCTCCATGGCTTGCTAACATGTGCTCAGGAATGGCAAGGTTGCCAGTTGCGTGAGGGATGTGGAGGGTGAGTGTGCAACGCCCACCTGACTGGACACAGGCTGAGTGAGCTGAGTTGCTAAGAGGGTTTTTGGGGAGAAGTGTGTGGTTGGAGGTGCCAATACCGTTGGAGGTGCCTGAATGCCCTGTGAACTACTTTTATGCTCCTGCCATGCCTGTTTAACTTTTACACCCGTAGATAATTTTCAAGAGCAATCATCAATGCATACTTATTATTTTTTTGCTAGTTTTTTTTAAACAAGTTTTACTACAATTTCCCAATTGCTTTTCACATTCCTCCCAACTTTGTTTCAGAGTTTTAGTTTTCATCTGGGGTAACTGCTTCTGGATTCTCATAGAAAGAGGGGGAAGATGGGGAGACACTCTGCTATTTTCTGTACAGAATGTGCACCTTCCGAAAGAAGATGTTACAGTGTTTTTCCACCACTTGGGGAAAGAACAGTGTGGCATGGATAATCTAGTGGTAGAAATTCTGATTTTATGAACTGAGGTATGTGTGGGGGGTCAAGGATAGTTTTATAATTTTGAAGTTATTTGCTATATTTCCATTGGTGGTGGTGGGGTGCTTTTGCAGCAGGAAATTTGGCATTCTCTTTAACCC